GTTGTCTTAGAAAGTAACAAATGTCACATGTGAGGACATAAAGGCTTTGTGTGTTTTGAGCTGACGAGCCTCTTCCAGAACACCAAGAAAGTGCAAGATGACTGAGAGAGAGAGACGGGCAGTAGTTCTTAGCATCCTGAGAAAAAAGATGAAAGAGTATAGGGGGGAAAAACAGATTATAGAAGTACTGTGTAACTTAGAAGCAAAAAAAAGGGAAGAAGAAAACTCTATGAAGATCCCAAATGAGAATATTAAAAGATGTAATTTAAGGTCCTCAACCAAATTGTACTCACAAGAATTTCTGGGTCATGTGAGGTACAGGTGAGAATCACAAGTACTAGACCAAGCAATTACTCTTAACTTGCAAATCTTTCTTGATGCCAAAACCTCCAGATTTTCAAATTAGAAGACACTGAAGGTGATGATAATGATGATGATATTATTATTATTATTATTATTATTATTTAAACTGCAAAACAATAAAACACCAACACATCATTCTAAGTACTGTACTCTACAAATCTTAGCTCATTTAAACCTCACCACAGTCACATGGGTTGGATCCTTTTCCTGAAGGAGAAATGGAGGTCCAGGATGGTTAAGCTCAGACTCATGACACCATGAGTGGCTCACCTGTGGTGCCAGTGATGACAAGGACAGAGATGATGCTATTTGGCTCTGGAAGGTGGGTCTTCCCGGGGTAATTTGGTGACCCCCAGCCCTCAGGATCTGGTCCTCAGCCTGACATATTCAACAGCATCAGTGGTAGACCCCAAGGCAATCAAGTCTCAGGGACAGATCAGTGTCATCCAACAGTTTCAGATTTAATTATAAACCAGAATGCTGATTTATCAATCTATGGATTCCTAAACATCCATTGACTCATGACTCAGTAATTTTCCACTGTGTCCTCACTCAAAAGTAATACCCAACATCTCTTCTATTAAGTAGTTATGGCTAAACAACTTCATAAGCTTCTATGTTTTTAAATTTTTTAGCTGCTCAGAAAAGTATAGATGAAAAATAGATGATTTGCCCTGTTACTTAACTGAGATGCAAGTGCTGCTGACCATTTCTCCAACCTTGGAATTTGATTGGATAGCAGCTCCCTCTTTTCCTGCTCCACACTGATTTTTTCAGCTGCTCCTGATTTTATCACAGCAGCCACCAAAACCCTGGCTTTGGAAAGACATGACGTCATAAAAAGGAAGGGAGTACAAGCTTATCTTGAAGCTGGGAGTTTCGGGGAGCTACATGGAGCAGGGAGGGGCACTGCAGCATTTCCCCTGAACACCTAGGAGGTCTTGCTCAGGGACTCAGTAGGGGCTGGGCACCTCATCATGTGATTTGAGAACTGGGACAGTGATTTCCACTCAGAAATAGAGCTGTTGTTTAAGAAATATAATTGGCAAGTGTGCTGAACTTCTCACCCGAGGTAGGATTGGGAAAATAAATGGAAATCAGAAAACTTTGTGGGCCTAGAGTCAGTAAAGGGAGGTGACCTGAAGCTGATAGACCCATTTTTACTTCGAATAGTTACTGCAGTTAAGTAACATGTGCATGTGTATGCGCGTGTGCGAGTGCATGTGTGTGATACACTGCTTCGTCTAGGTCTCCCAAACCCCAGGCAGAAAAAAATGTGGGACCAAAAGGCAGAAGATTCATTTATCAACTATTTGGTTTTTTACTAATTTTTTACAATTTTTAAAGATTTATATACAAGTAGATACGGATAACATCTGTACACTAAGATATAATCCAATATTTATCATGTTGCTCAAATTATTCCAGTGTTAGCCATTGTCATTTGGTCCTAAGTCCCTCGGACACACTCCCATCGCTATGGTGTTGGGGGTTTTGTGAGAAGACAGCTATAGATACACTATGAATTTATATGTGTGTGTGTGTGTGTGTGTGTGTGTGTGTGTGTGTGTGTATTCTATATTGATGATTATAGGTACAGTGTATTTCCTTTAAGTTTTTCAAATCATCTTGAAGAAAGTTACTTAGCTAAAAGCTCTGGTTTTTCACTTTTCTTTAAAAGACTTCATTCGCTTCAATAGATACTCAAGGACCGGTGACAGCATTACTCTTATGAGGAAGATGGTATTTTCAAGTGTGTGTGTGTGTGTGTGTATTCTATATTGATGATTATAGGTACAGTGTATTTCCTTTAAGTTTTTCAAATCATCTTGAAGAAAGTTACTTAGCTAAAAGCTCTGGTTTTTCACTTTTCTTTAAAAGACTTCATTCGCTTCAATAGATACTCAAGGACCGGTGACAGCATTACTCTTATGAGGAAGATGGTATTTTCAACATTTTAAGTCAGTATACAGCTTGGAGGCCAGGGCGTCCTCACATGAGGTCCTCAGCCATGAGCCACCCGGAGCGCGTTGTCGTCGTGCGCCACCTTCTGGTAGGATCGAGAAAGCACCAACGTCCAACCTAGTACAAAAGGCTGCAGCGTGGGACTTCGCGGGGCAATTCAGGCACACCTTCCCCAATTCATTTTGCTGATACTTTCCTCTCTAGAATGCATAAGAAGGACCGATGACAAAAACCTGCGCTTGAAGGTGTCTAAGCAAGTTCTTTCAAATGCATAAAGCAAGGCTTTCCAGTGTGGTTCAGCTCCAGCAGCGTCCACAGCGTCCTCCACCTCATCCTCTCCTAGGCACAATACTCAGCGACCCAGCAAGCCTGGAACAGGACTTCGGGAAGCTCACTCCCCCAGAGCAGCCCTGGATCGGGCCAGAATAAGACAATGCAGAGCTCCAACACCCCAGGTTTGGACACCTCTCCAAGGCAGCTTCTTTGCTATTCACCTCTGCTCTGGGAGCATCACCCTGTATCAGCTTCCCCTTTCCCTGCCTCCCAGCTGAGAGTCCCCCTCCTGCGTCCCGGGAACTTTCAAAGCAACCTTGCACCTATAGCTGGCTCAGTCCTGCCTCTGGGCAGAACCAAAATAAGATCTGTGTGGCCCTTTAATCCTGACCCTTTCTTACGGACAAAGGACAATCAGGAACAGAGCCAGAGGGCTGGGATTATCGCTGAGGGCCAGAGCCCTTGCCAAGCCTCTGAGGCACCCTGGCTTCCATCCCTGGCACTGCAAAAAACAGACAAGCAAGCAAACAAAAAACCCGAGCCCTGCCTTTCTTAATCAGTTACTTTCCATTTTGATGCTTTATTTATAAATAAACTTATTTTTAGTATAGTTTTAGTTTTTCAGAAAAATTAAGGCGATAGCACAGAGTATCCACATATCCTGCAGCAGTTTCCACTAGATTAACCTGTTCCCTTGTGTAATGCACGCCGTACAATTCATGAATCGCTGTTGGAACGCGATTAACTCCATACTGATTCAGAGCTCCTTCGTTTTTGCCTAGCGTTCTCTTTCTCTTCTTTCGCATTTCTTCTTTCACATTTCATGTCCTTGCTGTGACAGTTTCTCTGACTTTCCTTGTTTTTGGTGACCTTGACAATGTGAAGCGTTATGGACAGCTATTGTGTGTGTTGAGTGTTCCTCAGCAGGAATTTGTCAGACGTTTTTGTCTCGAGTTAGGGTTTCTGAAGATCAGAGTGGCCCTCTCCTATCACTGTACCCAGGGGCCAGACTGTCAACACGACTGTTCATGGTTGGTTTTGGTCTTGATCATCTGGCTGAGATAGTGTTGGGTTTGTGCACCATACAATTTCCCTGTACACTTTGGAAGAAAGTCGTATGTGCAACCTTCCTGTTAACAGGGGAATATCTCACACTGGCCAGGAGTCTTTTTGAAGCTCTGTGTGGGAAATGATCTTTACTCTCCGCTTAAGTTATTTGTCAGTATGGGCTCATGGGTATTTACTTTACACTTCATAATAACCCAGTGTTTACTGAGTTGTTCAAACTGCTCCATCTTGAGCCATCAGGGGAGCTGTCAATGACTCTAGGTCCCTCTGACACACTCCTGGCATTGTGGTTTTGGGTTTTTGTTTTCTGTTTTAACACTTCTTTACTTTCTGGCTCAAGATGCTCCATGTCCATCTCTATTTCCTGTTACAGTTTCAGAATCAGATATTTCTCCAAAGAGCGTTGGCTCCTCCTTTAAAGAAAGAAGTTTGTAACCATGATCTGAGAGGCAGCTGTGGTCTTTGCTATTGAGATATTGCTTTTAGGCCCTGACATTCCACTGACTCAGCAAGGCAGTGTGTGTGTGGATAGGAACCTGTGTGCACACTATCTACTTATCTCTGAGTGGTAAACCTGAGTACTGAGATCTCCAGCTCTTACACCCTGGATCATTCTTACCTCCTTCCCTTGCTTATCTGTAACCTCCCACTCCCAGTGAGAAATCTGGCTCCATCTGCTAGCAAATAGTATACACGTATGGCAGCATTGTAACTGCTAGCCCATACTCCCGTGAAAAATAACATTATCAGCTGGAAGACAGTGCTTATGCCTTCTTTGTCCTTCACTTTGAAGGATCCACTTATTTCTGGAGCTTAGGTTCTTGCTCTTCTATTTCCTGTCTCCCAGGATGTTTCCTTTATTTGTAACACAGTTGGATTGTTCTGTTACATTCTGCATTCTATCCAGAGACTCCCAACTCCCACAGTAATTTTTTTAAATGTGCATATATTACATTCACTGTGTTGTAAAGCTCTTTGGGGCCTGACAAATTCCTATTGTCCCGTCTTCACCATTATCTTATCAAGCAGCCTCATTTCACACCCAGGTGCCTCACCTGTGTGACCCTCCCATTCTCCCCCACAACCACTGACCTTTTTAACAAGATCTCCTGGCTCCTGGGTGGATGGAAACTGCCTGACTGAAGGCTGTATTCACGCATCACAGTGGGTTTCCATAACTAGGACAAAACCGCTTTCATGGGAGCATGTTTCTAAAGTAGGCGACACAATCATAATGCACTTGGCCTGTCACACCTGCAAAGTACTTGTCAAAATGTGGGGCCATTATATAATTTAAAACCAGAAGAAATGACAAAATTCAGACATTGGTGACAGGACAGCCTTTAATAGCCCTTCCCTTGTTTCCCATGCAGTTTTCCCAAAAGTCCCTTGGGCTACATGAAGTGGCTCTGTTGATCTGCAACGTAGGCTTGAGCGTGGAGTCTGGCAGTGAGGTACAACTGTCTGTAGCCCTTATCTCCTCCACTAGCGAGGTCCTCAGGATCAGTGGTGCTTGATACAGACTTAGCCATCCACTCCTCCTACATCATACATCCCAATTTTCTGTTACCATCTCTCACCAATCACTTAAGAAAGGGCTACCCTGGCACTTGCCTAACACCCTTATCCACACCCTTTCCCTCCAGGCACCAAGGCAGCTTACAGGTAGCCTTCGTATCTGTTTCTTTGATCATTACATATACGGGTTTAGATCTAAAATGTCAGCCAAAAGTCTCCTACGACTTAGAATGGGGGCATTCATGGCTGAATGTCATTAGGAAGTGGGACCTGGTTGGAGGTGGCTCACAGGGGGTGTGACCTGAAAAGGTGTATTCTGTCCTTGACTCCTCCCTTCAGTCTCTGCCTCCTGGCTGCCATGAGTAGCCTCTGCCATGCCCTTCTGCCATGTCTTTGCCTTGGAACCAACTAACCATGGACTAACGCCCCTGAACCATGAGCCAAATCAAACTTCTCCATCTTTAAATTTTAAGTATGGTATTTAGTCCCAGTGATGGGGAAATGACTAATATTGTTTCTGCTGTGGAATTAGACACACTCAGTGCATAAAAACCAGGTTTCATCACCTCTGTCAGATATACAGGGCTCTGAAGGAAACAGAAAGTAAAATACTGTGGTAAATACTGTGGGGATGTCTCCCAGAATTAGCTAACCTGTAGACACTAGCAGGTGAAGTTCCAAATCACAACCCCAATTTTAGGATGGAGATACTATACTCTAACTCTAGTTCAGCCAGGGGGACTAAACAGGTGCCTGGATCCTGGATGCTGTGCAGGCAGGTAGAGCTCACTGGCAAGGCCAGGAGAACCTGAACTCATATTGCACACAAGGTAAGGGACCTCTCTGCATGGGGTCATAGTCACAGGTCAGTTTTCAATTACATCAAAGTGGCATGGTGGACATCCAGAATGAGCACCTGCTGTTCTTCAGCACTGTGGATGCTGCCCACATTCAAGCACGGCATCTGCCTTCTAAGTGTGCTTCAGGTGCCCAGGAAACTTCTCACCCTCGTTCTTCCTCCACATTTCACTATGCTGTCAGTGCCCAACAGAAGATCTAAAGAGGCAGCTTTCCTGCCAACTGCTGGAACCAGGGACAGAACTCCCTGGTTCAAAGCTTCAAGATTTCATGAACATTCTTCAAGCTAAAACCATTACAGAAAATATGTTTTAGTAGTGCTGGCTGAAATGACAGAAAAATAAATAAGGCAAACTTCTGACCGATAAATGGGTCATAGCTGCTTGTAATTCGGTGAATTAGAGCGAAAATATTTTAGTGTCATCTGAGAGTACTTTTTGCTGATTCTTGCAAGATTCAAATCAGCATTAAGTGCTAGTCACAAATACAAATACTGGGGACTATTTCCCCCAGGTTTTCTGTTAGCAATGTCTATTTGACAAGAAGTGATAAAGGCTAGCAGGATCCTGGTTCACAGTACATCTTCATGTTTTTTACTTATTGAGACAGTTTATGTGTGTGTTTATATTTTACTTACAAAAAAGAATAAATGGGGCCATGTACAGAAGTCAAAATGAACTGATATCTCAACATTTAACCAAAAAAACAAAACCCAAACAAAAAACAAAGCACTAAAAAAAATAATGGCAATAAATTAAAATCTGGCAGTTATGGCCTTGATGCAATAGGGATTTTTTTCCCCCCACAAAAACTGTCCATTTCTTCCAAACAGGATAAATACTAACATCTTCTCTCTATAGAGAATTCTTATAATATTTTTGAGTTGATAATTCTGTGGCTAACTTTATAAGACAAAAAAATGTAATTATAAAGCTTAGTTCACAATTTTCCCAAATTCAATTGTTTAAAACTCCACATATAGTAGTTATATTTCAAAAAAAACAGTGAAGAGTTTCATGCCTTACTTAGAATATAAGTGGGAAAATACAGACATCTGGCATACCAATAAATGATTTAAATTTTCTTTTAAAGAAATGTTATCTAAAAACAGAGTTTCAAGAAATTTAATACAATTCCGAGCAATGATTATTTCTGAAATACATGAGATTTCTGAAGCATTAATTTGAAAAATGCTAAAAACTAAAAGGATTTTTTTCTTGCTTTTTCCTTTTTTAAAAAATCCAGACATCGTGTCACATCAAGAAAGTCTGAAAAGTCCCAGTGCCTGCAGCAGCCTCAGTCGCCCTCAGAATCACTGTCCCCCCTCCTCATGGGCATGGAGCCCCGCACCGAGGTCAGCAGCGCGTCCTCCAGGGGCTTCCTGGGGTTCTCCTCCAGGTCGGTCTTGACTGCTCCAGACTTGGACAGTTTCCACTCCAACTCTGTGTGCAAAGGGAAAAGCGAATCACATACAATACCGCAGCACACAGCCTTTTCTCAAACCCTCAAGCCATATAATTTTTAACAAAAAACATGATTATCAAAATTTAGCGACAATCTTAGTGCCCTAATGTTATGGTGCCAAAAAAGAGAGAGGGAAAAAAATGGATCTTTAAGAAGGAAGATTTTAAAAACTTTCACTTTTTCAGATGCTGAGATCAAATGAGATATTACATAAGCTTGAACCTATATGAAAACTACAATAGGATACAAAGAACAAACTTTTCCTGTAGCTACTGCAGAATCCCAGCTTGGACAATTTCCCAGGAAAGAAACAGGCAAGAAACATTTAGGGGAAATAATCTCCCCAGGTCACATGGCAAGCACATGACCAAATCTAATTTTATTTAAGACAGGAAAACTGCAGCCTCCTGTTCAAAATCCCATCTACTAGGCTCAAAGGATAACTGTCAGTTGATACCCTAGAACTAATATGTTTGTTCCAAGTAATATAAAATAATTAAAACTAGAGTACTGAAAACTAAGCAATCAGAGACGAAAGATTCAGTTCCTATATTTCACCCTCTTATAATCAGAGAAATTGTACATAGTATAAGACCTTGTAAAGCAAAGTCAAGGGATGCATTTTTCATCAAAGAACCCAGGTACAACCAAAGGACACCTAAGAGATTCGAAAACCACAAGTCTGGCTTTCAGGCAGGCCAATGCTAAGTAGGTACTTCCACTAATATCTGCTAAGTTTCCTGAAGTTGTAGTAAAGAACAGAACAGTGATTACCAGGGGTCGGGGGTAAATGAAAAGATGAAGGTCAAAGGGTACAAAGTTTTAGTTATAAAATGACTATGCTCTGGGGACTGAATATACAGCACAGCGATCATCCTTAACAACAATGTATTAAATGCTGGAAATTTGCTTGCAGCATAAATCTTAAGTAGTTTCACCAAAGGTAAAAAGGAAAGAGGTAACTATGTTAAGTGGGATATACTACTTAGTTTGACTACGGTAACTATTTCACATCATACTTCTAAAGCAAATCATCATGTTGTACACTTTAAATATATACATTTCTTTTTCTCAATTACATCTGAATCCCGGTTGCAGGGCGTGGAGGGAGGAGTGCACCACAGAGATCATTATTACCCTAGTATTTTCAGCTTTAGGTACATTGGCTAGATCTTGTGAAAAATCAACAAATTTCTCTTAAAAAGTAAGATTTCTAGGGGGTGAAGGGAGGGCAGAGGTAAGGGGAAAAAATGAGAATCAAGACTTGCCATGTAAAGGTACATGATCCCAACAATGAATGTAACTGTACTGTATCCCTAAAATGTACCAATAAACTCAATAAAATTAAAAAAAAAAAGTAAGATTTCTGCTTCCTTATTCAAAAATAAATTTATATATCCACACACACACATACATCCATGTACAAGCATGTAAACATAAATTCACTATCCCTAAAGACTTTCTAGAAGTAAAGACTATAGATACAACTGTGCGCTGCTAAGGCGTAGATGTCATTTGCTGTTAGTGTAGCAATGCTGGGAGGTGGGGCCTTCAGGAGGGATTCATGTTGGTCTCCCAAGACTGGACAGTTCTCATGGGAAGGGATGGCTGTAAGGAGTGGGTGTTATGAAGTGAGCCTAGCACCTCTCAGTCTCTCCTGGCACAAGTGCCTGCCTCCCCGCTGCTTCTCCACACAGATGTGATGCAGCTTGAGGGCTCACCAGAACCTGGTGCCTGGCTGTGTGAACCAAAACAACCTCTTCTCTTCATAGAACACTCAGCCCTCAGGTGTTCTGTTATAGCAACAGAAAATGGGCTCAGACTGAGCCTTGAGATCTGATCAAAAAAGATCACAATAAGCTAACAATTACTTTGAAACACCGTTTATCTTTGAACAATGGAATAATGCATAACTTAAGTGTCTCTTACGTGTTTGCATTTACATTTGTCCTTTCCCCAGGTGGGCACCTTAGCAGTAACATATAAAGACTTATGTTTAAAAACATACTTGTGAAAACGAGTATAGTGGGTATATTACTTTGGTAAAGAGATGAAAGATTTTACTCAGCAGCAATGTCTCTGGCCTTAGATTCCCTATCACATGCGGATATATACTTTGACACTTCACTGCATAACCATGGACAGGAACAAAAACCATATCCTTCCAGAGTTAGAAGCAGAGTTAAGTCAACTCAAATGTAAAACCTATTAAGGTACTTCAGCTGAGACACACATTAATATGGTGCAAATGAAAATAAATAAAAAATAAAGTCTGTGACCTTGAGGTACAATTTAAAAGAAAACATTCACCTGATGAATCGTCTAAGAGGAGAGACTCAATGTGCTTCCTCCTGTTAAACACCACCCACACTGTGGCAAAGGTGAGCACGGCATGTCGCCATGACACACAGCCAGGAAGCTGGAAACAGGCACGCTCTTCCACAGGAAGACCCCTCCCTTGCCTGTCCCCAAAAGCCTCTCACCATCTCTCGTCAGGTTCATGCCACCAAACACCAGAGGACCGATGAACTGGGCCTTGATGTCACCTTCAAGGTAGACGAATACTGTGGGCAGATTCCTATCTGGGTAGTTGGGTATGCAGGTTGTTGAAATGGCCTTGACAAATTTGACATCAGGAAACTTCCTGGCAAGTCCGCTGAGGTGCTGATTTATCAGGGCACAGAGGGGAATCCTGCAGAGACAGGAAGAGAAGCAGCTGTGGCCCTGCATTTACAGAACAAAGCCCAGTGCCCTGCTACCCACCATAAGGTCTCCCAACGGTTGCACAAGTGGTATGCCCAGAAGGTGATGGCATACCTTTCAGAGACAAGTGGCCCATTTATATATCACAGATTGTCAACACTGAAATTAAATCTGAATACTGAGGTTTTAGTTAAACAAACAAAAACCCTCATACATTAACATCTTTTACCTTAAACAGCATCTACACTATAAATTTGCCACCAGTGGCCTAGAAAGATGGAGTCATGTTTGTAAGAAGCTTTCTAATATGTTCAGGGAATGTGAAAATCTCAAAATACAAAGTCTAATTTAACTGAACCCAACAGTAACTCAGAAGGATAGCTTCAATGTAAAAGATAACAGCCATGCTCTTCTATGAGGGTGAACGAGAGAACAGAAGATTCAAAATTATGAAAAAGGTCAGAAACTGTACCCTTCAAAGAAATTCCTGAACAAACCCTGGATGCCATAAGTTAAGAACAGCAATATGGTTGAGAATACTTGACATCCAAAGCATCAGTAAACATAATTATTATTAAGTTCACTCTTGGCCACCTACAACAGTAATAAATTACATGGCATTTTAAAATGTCAGAATTTCTTGCAACAAATGTATCCAACCTGTGACTTATTCTCTCTCTCCTTTTTTAATGTTACAATAAATAAATTTTTTAAAAAGGAAGTTGTCATACACATTAATTACATTATATATTTTATATGTGGCCAGGTCAATTCCTTCATATGGCCCAAGCAAGCTGAGAGGTTGGTCATGCCTATGAAAGAGTGACTCAGAATTTGTAAGAGAAGAAAACTAAGTTTTCATTTTCTGCTTTTCAAAGATAACTGTATTATTCAGATAATAGTTTGAAAGTCCTAAGGTGAAACCCAGAACACTACTGCAGCAAGCAAAAGACAAAGAAACCATCTGATATAGGTCACTCTTGAAATAGGTTTAAGACAGAAATTCAAATGAGCATCTTGTAAACTGTGTGGAAGAGGAGCTCACCCTTGCTTGTAAAGGTGCAAGACCACCCATAAGCCCTCACCGGCTTTGGTAACTTCCTGAACATAATCCTTTCCCGAGATCTCCAAAACTTCTCCAAATTTATTCTTCAGTTGAGTTGCCTTCCACTCGGCCAGTCTTTGCTGCCTGCACAAGAGAATGAAAGAAACACCTTACCCATGTGTAAGCACGCACACACACACACACACACACACACACACACACACGTGCACTTATACATACACTTTTGGAAGGCAATTCTTGTTCATCATCTAGTCTTTTTTTTCATTAAGTTTACTGGTACATTTTAGGTATACAATGCAGTTACATTCATCACTGGGATCTTATACATGATATATCTTGGTTCTTATTTTTTCCCCATTCCCCTTCCCTACCTTCAAACCCTCCACCCCTCCCTATTTACAAAGATTTTGTTTCCATTTTTTCCTTTTCGCATGTTTTTTTCCTTTCCCCTACCCCTTCCATTTCCCCTACTCCATTTAGACCTTTTCTTCCTGTTTCACATTATCAATTGTGTATTTTGATCCTTATTTACACTTTTAGTTTCTCACACCGGGGAAACTATTCAGTATTTACACGTGTGCTATTTATTTCACTTAAGAGTAGGGCCTCAATATGCATCCATTTACCTATAAATGCCTCTAGTTTCTTGTTCTTTATGGCTGAGTAGTGCTCCATTTTATTAAAAAAAAAAAAACCCACATCATCTTTATCTACCACCTCGTCTTCTTTACCTCATGTCAAAAGTCTATGATGGCTCCATTGAAACCTTCAATATTACTGTTCAGTAACAATCTTTTCCAAATACTATCCTGGCTAGAAAATTAGTTTCTCAGGACACACATTGTGTTACCCCACAAAACCCCAGACCACCCCTGTGGGTGACACTAACCTGTACATTTCAATAGCCCGTTCATCCTCCTCACTGAATTCATCTTCATTATCCTCTAGCTCTTCCAAAGTCATATCTTCATATGTTTTCACTAAATATAGTCAAATTGGCAGGAGGAAAAAATTTAACAGATTACTACCATTTCAGGTTTTTCTGTTTTCTCCTAAAGATGTGCACACAACACCAAGACAAACACTAAGGTGTTTCACTAGCAATAAGAAGCTGAGAGTGTTTCAAAGAGATTTACACTGGTATCTGCTCGCTTGACCACCTTACCTCCACATATATGAGTAAGAAATATAAGGGCTGATAAAAAATATGGTATAGGGCCGGGGATTTAGCTCAGCGGTTCGGTGGCCTGACCTGAGTTCAATCCCCAGTACCAAAAAAAAAAAAAAAAAAAATTAAGGTAAAAGACACACTGTCATTAATCCCCCTCAAAATATCACCCCTCCTTTTGAACACACTTATCCTATCATTCTCATCACTTTTTGAAGCACTTCTGGAAGTTTTCTTTTGGACATGAGGTACGATAAAAAATACACCACTTCCGAGTGCCAACGGAAAGGCAGGCTCATAAAAACACAACGCTGTGTCTTCATCCACCTTATACACCAGATCTAGCAAGACAGACTTCCAGCTCTTCCCCAAAGTCAAAATGACCAAGAAAGGTTTTGAATCCACTCAGGACATCGAGGCAGCATGACTGCAACTGAAGACATTCAGGAAAGAGTTCCAGAACTACTTCAGAAAATGGCAAAAACCATGGGATCAGGGTGTTCAAAGTGAGGGGGAGGATTCTAAGAGGAACCAATGGCAATGTGTTTTTTACTGTAGTAAATTAAAAAGAAAAAAAAAGCACTGTATTTTTTAATCACACCTCTTGTATTTCCCTGAAATCTCCTGACCTGAGTGAGTATATATGCTCATGCGCTGGGTGTACCAACAGTTCCTCCACCCACAGAGAAGGGGCAGCTCTGAGGCCTCCCCCAGCACACAGTGGCTAGAGTCACATGATCATCACACTCTCTATTTTTTCTTACAAGTGGTCAGCAGCTCCATCTTCTCATTACCCACCGCTACAAAATCTGTGTCCTATTTCTACTGCTATAAATACTCTTGCTTCTGGATATCAAGTCAGGCTCTGCCCTGCCCCCTTTTTACTTTCTTAGCAAAGTCAACAATGACCCCCAATTCTAGATGCTAGGCAGCTCCTTGCTCAAGCACTGTCTCCTTTGAAGATGGTCCTCCTCTGGGTTCCAGACATCCCTTCCCTTCCTACTCCTATGTCCCTGTGTCCCACCTTTTGAGCCCCTCTTTCATTTGTATTTGTTTTTTGAGACAGGGTCTCTTTATGTAGTTCATCCTACCCACGAAATCCCTGTGTAGCTCAGGCTGGCCTTGGACTCACAATCATCCTGCCTCAGCCTCCTGATTGCCAGGATTAAGGGTGTGCACCATTGTGTCCAACAAGGTTCAGTCCTTCAACTTTTTACTTGTACCTAAACTCTTACTGACTGAATCTAATCTCATAGCTTTAAATACTGTGCCTTTGATGACAATTCCCAAAGTTATGCTTTTCTGCTGACTTCTCAAGCTGGAGAAAAACAGACCCAGCACCTGCTTAGCAACTCGACTTGTTTAGTAAGAATCAAAGGTGACGGGTCCCAGGTAGGGTTCACCATCTCCCGCCTAAGCTACTCCCCTTCCAGCCTTTCCCATTAGTGGTCATCCTTGTCCTATCTCTCTCACACTCCTTGGATCCCCAGCACATCCTGTGGGCCCAGATCTGACCCCTCTCCCTCCTACATCCCCCACACTAGCCCAAGCCAATAAGGCACTGGCCATCAGTGAAGGCCAATGAAGAACCCTTCCACCACAGCATTTGGAAGTTTCAAAAGTAGCATCCAGACTCAAATAGCCACACAACAAAGAAAATCGGCAAGCTCACCTACTGACTGCTGGAGGACACTCTGCTCATCCTCTTCTGTCTTCTTTTCCAATTCTTTTAGGCTTTCCTTTGAGGGCAGGATGCCCTTTTTTCGTAAGATGTCATTCCATTCAGTGTCTGCATTGGGGTCCTAGAAGAGCAGGGCTGAGGACACTATGAGTGCAAAGTCTGGCATAGTGGGTATGAGGTCAAATCGTGGGGAAGAACAGAAAGCTAGCCAAACTGCTCTGTGGCTTACTTCTGAGAAAGTGTCAAAAGGCCCACAGCTCCTTTTTTGTTCTTCCTTCCTCCCCAGAAACAGGAGCTAGTCTCAGGGTAAAAACCAGGATATGCTGTACAAATCAACATTGATGCTGAAACCAAGGTTGTGACTTGGCTTCTGAGCATTACGTTTATTAATGATTTAGAATGATTCACTCACCAGATATTTAAGTACCTACTACACGTAAATAGGCAAAATGGAAACATGGTAAACTCAAATCACCTGTTATCCATCTAGAGATAAATTGTGGCTGCTGGTCTAGAGTTAAAGGGGACCCGCAATCCCACAAGGTGGACAGAGATGTTCTGTAGAGGAGGTAACATTGACCATCACCCAAGAGTAAGAAAGAGCCAGCCATGTTAAGAGTGGGGATTTAGGAAAAACTTTCGAGGCACAGGGACCAGCATAAGTAAAAGGTCCCAAAGCAAAGACAGTGTGACAATTCTGAGCATCTCAAAGCCTTAGGTGGAGACAGGGGAAGGAGGAAACCTGAGGTTAGGCTGACAGAATTCCAAGCAGGAAGGGAGAGAGGGAGAGAGAGAGGGAGGGAGGGAGGAGGGTGGTCTGAGACCCTTGGGAGTAGCTCTTAACAGCTAATGTTTATCAAACACTAAGCAGCGGGACTCTTAAGTGGCTCCTCACTCCTCCCAAGACACTGCCATGGTGAACAGGGCCCAACTGACCAGGAGCCAATGTCACAAACACAAATGTCAAGAGTGGACCCTCAGACCCAGAACCCAGGCGCACAAGCGTGGGTATGTGTGGCTTGGGGCTTCAGCTTGGAAAATGAGCTCAGGGAGCATCGTGGAAAGGATCTGGAACAACCAGGCTGAGCCCCACCTCTGCGACTCAGGCCTGCTGAAATGTATGGAAGGAAAGTGACCAGATTCCTTCCAAAGGGTGGTCGTGGAAGGCTTCTACACGAGGGGCCATTTGTAAGCAGAGAATAATGAGGGGAGCGGCCCTGGCCCTCTTTCCTCATGAAGGGTGTGGCTGACCTGCTGTAACTTCTCCCCTTCCAACCAGGGGCACACTGTCTCCACTTCCCATACACCTTTGAGTGGAGCCTACTTGTTCAAAACTCCAGCCAGAGCGAGATCAGGGAAGGCTGGGCCAATGGACAGTAACAAAATCTGGTTGTCACTGATACTTGTTCATAAAAGTCATTTCTACAGAGTTTTCCTTCACTTTCTTTGGGCTTCTGTCAAATTCCACTAGCAAAGTCCAAGGAGCAAGGAGAGGGAAGACAGAGAAAGACAGAAAGAGGACTTAACTAGGGGATTCTGATTGCATTTATTTTGAAAAATTAACGCTGAGCAGAGCTGAGCTCTGGAGCCCAGGGAGCTAGAAAAGGAGGCACCCAGCCTGATCACCAGAGTTGGGGACAGAGAGAGCCATAAGCCTTCAGGCAGCTCCAGTACGCCAGGCACACAGGAATTCTGGCCCTGGTTTCCGAGGTGGGGCCGCCTCACTCCTCCAAGTATCGACTTCCCCTCCATTCTGACACACCTGCCAGGAGTTTACTGAGGAAGTTAGTAAGTAGGAAGTGACTTTTAGGTCACCTGACATCTGACAAATCCTTCAGAGGCCTCAGAGACCCTCCTCAAGGAGAACCAGCTGCCCAGAACTGAGATTTGGAGAGTCAGGGACACTCAGGGACAGCGGGGGTAGGGGAAAACCACTCCCGCCTTCCCACATCGCGCCTGCGCGGACCTCCACTCGCGTGGCCTCAGAACAGCGGCGATCGGGAATTCTCGCAAGCCAAACGCCCGCGGCGGGAGCAAGCACATCAGGTCCAATGAGCGGCTGTGCCTTGAGTCCCCATGGACCCTGCCTCGCTCACCTGCATCTTTTCCACCGATCGCTCGAGCCAGCCCAGCCACCGTACGTAGACCCGCTGAACGCCGTTGTGCGCACGCTCGCATTCGCAGGTCCTCCTCCCAGCCAGCGCTTCGCCCCGCCCTCAAGTGCCAGCTGGGCGGAGCCGAGGAAGAGAAGGCTGTGCGCCTGCGCCCAATCCTCAACACTATGCGCTGACGCCTTGCGCTTGCGCTATCTGGGAAGCACCAGTGGCCTGGGGACTCACTTGACCTGCGGCTGCTCCAGGGTTGCCTTATTCGGGCAAGGCTGGAGACCGGCGGGGCTGGCGGGGGCGGTGACGCTAGTTTCCCAGCCACCTCAACTGCGGAGACGTCTTGGTCCTCTTGACAAAAAAGTCAGAAATAGTAACGCGTTTCGGCCATCCGACGCTGTGATTTAAAATGATCAGGTCATCTGGACTTCAGCCACTGCCATGTTACTAAAGGGTGTTACATCTCGTTCCTGAGACGGATTTCCTGAGAGCCTCTGAGCGCCAGCCACAATTTTAGGTTCTGCTATTTCGGCGGTGTCAAAAGGGACCAACGGGCTGGGGTGTAGCTCAGTGGTAGAGCGCTAGCCCACGGCTCGATCCCCAGCACCAGCTAAACAAAAAGCAAAACAGTCGAAAGGCTTTTTACCTCGTTAAGCCTCGGTAGACACATGCAAAGTTTAGCCGTGTGGCACCTAGTATAACCAGCAGTCTGACTAGGATGCGTCTACCGGGTCCCTTCAGAATTTGAGTTGAGGAGCAATCCGGCTAGTGTTAAAGGGCTGGGGTACACCTGGGCTGGCTCAGTGTCTTTCTGGCAATAAAACAGACGCTGATCACAGAGGCCACACATCTGTAAGTAGGCACAAGGCTCCCAACTTTGGTTAAGTATATTGGAATTGCCTCTGAGAAGCAACAATAGAGGGGAAGGGAGGAACTAGCTGTACAGATATTAAAACAATGTGGTATTGATGCATGCATACACAAAGGGATCAAAGGAACAGCATCGCAAGCTCAGAGCAAGTCTACAAATGGAACCAACTATACAAGCATTAGGGTTAGGGTATGCATAAGTCAGCTTCTGAGTCTCCTGGAGAAGGGGGTGGCATATCAATGGAGGGTGTTGGGACATTTGAAAGAACATTAGAAAGTAGAGAAAATTGGGTCCTTCACAAAATACATCAGAGTTTAAAACTAAAAATACTAGAAGAAAATATAGGCCAATTTCATAATTTAAAAATGGAAAGACTTCAGTTTCATTCAAATTCAGAAGGCAAATTTTAAAATAGATTCAACTATTTTGCATAAAATAATGCTTAAAAGCATGCTGCTTCTCATATAAATAAAAAGTTAAATAATACATTTATGTTCATATTTATATTTGCTTAGTGTTTCAAAAAGAATCATAGGAAAAAGGAAACAAATGCGGAATGAAGTGGTAGAGGCATGCATGGGAATGAGAATCCTCTAATAAATTTTATTCAGTAGCAAAGACAATTTTCTGGGGCCTAAAGCAAATTCAACCTTGGAGAGCCTCTTTTAAAAAAGAAAACAAAATTATGCACATAAATCAGACATGAATGTTTATTTAAACTGAAAAAAATTTACAAATTACCAATTTGTAAAAACCAACAAATTCCACTCTCACAAAATCAAAAAAATATATAGACTTTTCTTAATTATCTGACATGTGTCTATGCTCCACAGACAAATTTCCCACAGACTAATTTCCCTCTGGCACAAATCAAGCTCTATTTCTTTTAGAACTCCTTAAACACCTCATTCCACAGAGCCCCAGGTTTACATTCTTACAACATTGTGCTCTCCATCTCTTCAAGTTCTGGTCACAGCGAAGGGTGAGGATGGATAGCAGTACTCCTACAAGTCACTTCTAACTGGGAATGACCAGAGATTAGCACACATGCGAACAACACCAAACCACATAAGTGTCAGTAAATAACTCAGCTTTCCCTTAGTGTTAGTGGTTTTCATATTCATTGTACACCCCTTTAATGCCTGTAATTTTATTCCCACTAATTAACATCTTTTTTGTGCGAAGCTTTTGGATGGCTTTTGCCAGATTTTGCATCCATCTCCTTACCTATGAAAGTCTCCATGACAAGGTCAGTTTTCTTGATATTTTTGCACATATTTTGGCAGAGATGAAAGACTTGGGGTTGAGCTGCTGGTCCTTTCTATCATTGCCTGCTTTTTTCCCTTTCTCCCTTCTGGGACAGGTATTCATTATCTCTTGTAAATGAAGAATGGATTTAATAAAACATAGAGGAAGACAAAACCTGAAGTTATTCACAATATATAGATTTTTCTTTTTTCTTGGTACCAGGGTTCAAACTCGGGACCTTGTGCTTGCAAGGCAGGTGGCAGAACCACTGAGCCAAATCCCCAGCCCTACAGTGTCTACATTTCTTAATAGGCAAGTAGGAGAAACAGTTCTCTACTGAGCGCAAGCACCTGTGGGAATGTGGTTCAGACATACTTTACCAGGACTCTACTGTGATGCGTGACTATGTAGGACATTACCATTTCTTTATACTAGCAATTTTCTAGGCAAAATACCTCACATTAGTGACTCCTGCACAAATTGCTGGAAAAACTACTGCAGCTGCATTAAGTTTAGTGACTGTGAGTCTTCGCATTATGGGAGCCTGTGTAGAAAAATGATGCTAGTAGTCCAGATTCCTTCTCATGGGGAAAGCAGACAGGGGACTCACTTAGCAAGCTGATCTCAAACTGTCATAAGATAGAAAGCCCAAACAGGAAGATGCAGCAGAGTGGCAGTGATTAAAAGAGCAGTTACAATTTGTCTCTTTAAATGAGCCATCATTAAATATGGGACTCCACGGTGGCTTCCAAGGAAACTAGAATTCGTATTCCAGATGTGTTTGTGTTTGCTCTTAAGGCACCATCATCCCAAGATTTGTTTGTGTTTTTTCTGTTAGTGAAAAACTGTTCCTTGGCCTATCTTCTCTTCTCAGTGCCTCCAACCCTGGGTTTATTTGACATTAAACAAAATGCAGTGAAATGAAATGAAAGTATGCTGGTGTATTATCACAGATGATTGCGGGCTGTTTGTTTCTGCTCCTTTTGAGCCCAGCTGGAAATTTGTCCTCGAGAGGTGGGGCAGGTGAGGATGAGAGGCTTGGGTGATGTCTGGAGTGAAAACACCTGGGAGTTTTGAAAACTTGAGCACTATTGAACCTGCCCTGGCGGTAGACACTGGGAAAGAAACATCTAGGAGAAAGCTTGGTGAACTGTGACTGTGGAGAGGCTGCCTTTCCCAGAAGATGAACTTGCTGTTGGAATTCAGCCACCATTTCATAGGAAAGAGGTCAAAACAGAAAGATGGGGCAGCACTTGATTTCAATAACAGCTTTCTATTCAAGCTTTTCTAGGTTTCATAAGGTGTGGATCACAAAATATCACAATTACTTGGAGATAGTTAAAAATGCAGATTTTTGGATCCAACCCCCAGAACCTGTGGTCCTGCAGGTGGGCGGGGGGAGCTCGCATTAATGACTCCTGCACAAATTGCTGGAAAACTGCTGCAGCTGGCAATGAAGTTTTGTGACTGAATCTTTGCCTTACGGGAGGGATCCTGTGAATAACTGTCCGCACAGCTGGAGAGCTGTCAGGTGGTTCAAGTAGTGTTGGTCTGCGGGCCACATTTTGTTTCCTGGAATTCTGTATCACCTTTAAAAAGGATCATGAAGACTATCTGAAGCATTTACCATGACATCATATAGTGTCAAACAGGAAAAAGCAGGTACAATTGTTATAGACAGTGCATATGAATCTACTGGTTTAACAGGCCTTTTTGTGAAGAAAAGTGTATTCCAGTAAACAGACACTAAAAGCAGCGACTAAAATCAGGGATAGATTATAGCCCCTAGCAGGGAAAGAGAACTATGTTTATATAGAGTTGGGGAAGGGGCTGTAATCATAAGGAATGTTTATGACTTGGCTGCCCCAGGATGATCTGCTCAGATGTGTAGACAATCACTGGACTTATCAGTGCCAGCGGGGTTGTACACTTCGTTTCGCATCCATTTGTCCTGTTTACTGAGAAGCTGCTGTTGTTTTCTGAAAGCAGCCTGTTTGCCCTGTTCTGTTTGTTCAGACCAGGCCTGACAATAATTAGGACATGCGGTCAGCTTTACAACAACCAGTCATAGATTGAAAATATTCAGGGAGAAAAACTGTACCTGTGCTGAACATGTGCCTTTCAACATTCTAATGCTTGTACCCTAATCCAAACCATCACCTCATTCCTAGGTTCCTGCACAGCCTGAGGAATTGCTGCAGCCACGTTCTGAGATCTCACTAATTTTCCTCCTATTTAAACCTGCTAATGGCTTCTCCCTGACTTTGAACAGGCCATCAGCCTACTGACAACTGTATAATGTCCTGTGGTTGCTGGCTTTAACTCTTATCATCATAGTTTCTATGGCATCTTCGACTCTACATTCCAGCCACCTTGCTCATCTTTTCAGGGTTCTTCCCTAGTGGGGGACCCCCTTTTGCTTCAAATCACATACACATAGCTTCAAGAATGCTCTGTGCGTCAGCCCCAGTGTGACAATTGTCTCATCTATGGTTTCTTTTTACACAGTGCTTTTCCACTGTACCAGATCGCATGCCCCTTAGTAACCAGCACGAGGCATGCCCTTCCTACTACTCTGAAATAAAGTTGATGCAGTAGATGAAATCACAAACAGAACAATTTCAAATAATGTAATGACTTACCTATAAAAGAAAACAATATATTTTAAACTCGAAAATCCTCTAGTGCAACTACATGAGCAGGCATAGTCAAGTAGTCAGGAGATGACACACATTTCTAACGAAAAAAAAAATCCTTTATTTCTGACCTTTTGACATGAGAGTGAAAGAAACATGTTTGTCTAAATAGAAATGAAATCACTCTGAGTTCAACTAATTTTAATGGGGACCAATACTGCATGTTGCCATGGTAACTGAAATATCACAGTGCAAGTGATTTGGTTTTCTGAAATTTGGTAAAATTCCAGCTAAAGTGCAATTTCCCCTCAATGTAAAAGGAGGCTACTTCCCTGGAAAATTTGTATGTTCCTAGAAAAATTTTGTTTAAA